AGCGCGGGTATTCATACCATACTATACGGGTCAGGTGATCTCAAACATTGTGCAGACTCGTGGCTTTGCAGTTTTAGTGCGCTCAGTAATTTACATGTTTGCTTTGACGCTTGTAAGGTTCGCTTTTTCTTTATTTATATTCATTTTTGAACTGTTTGCTCTATGAATTAGATTCTGCCGGAATCGTAACAGCGCGAAAGATAGAAGAGAGGGAGAGCGATTGTCGAAACTCTTGCAAAAAGCCAGCAGTACACATCTGTCAGTAGCATTTATACGTCTATATAAATAGGGGAAAAGTGTATTTTTCACCTCGGAACTTCAGAAATTTTTTAGTTAGCGCGCGGAGCGATTTCATTCAGTGCAGCGGCCTTCAGATGTTACAAAAATCTTTAGGCTGTATGTTGAGGAAAGTTAAAACGAAGCAGAAGACCGGTGTTGATCTCACTGAATTACTCTGTTCTGGTTGGGAAGTATATTTGGGGTTGATTTTAGCACAATATTCGGTGGGCTTCGTGGTGGTAGCTTTGATTACGCGACAGCACTGGTCAACCGGAAAATGCGCTGTGATTTGTTCGGTTCTCTAGTGGAACAAGAAATCGGCTTCTTTGATTTAACCAAAACAGGTAACGATGCTTCTCGTAGCACTGTGTTTAAGTGAAACACGAAGAAAGTGGTCGTTTATGCGAATACCTATTTGCTTATGTGCCAATTCGCGTGCCTTGGATTTCGAACACTCTTCATAATTATTTTGTGTTGCATGGAAGTTTCCTCTTTATCTTTTAATGGAAGTGAGACGCTGAAGTGTTATAAGTGTTCGAAAATTTGCAGGTGAGATAACTTCGCGTTTGACGGCCGATTGTCAGACGATGTCGTCGACTGTATCGACAAATGTGAATGTCTTTCTTCGAAACAGCGTCATGCTGCTCGGCTCTCTGGTGTTCATGTTTGCGCTTTCCTGGCGTCTTTCGCTGGTCACATTTATCGCTGTTCCAATTGTTGCTTTTTTAACAAAAGTTTACGGAGCCTATTACGATGTAAGTATATCACCTTTATCATTTTATGTTTTTGTATTTGGGTATTTTTTTTCACCGCTGAGCAGGCAGTCTGGGAGTATTTTTTGAGCAACGCGCCGTATCTTCGCCTTTTTTGTTGTTCTTTGTTGTTCGCTTTTTTTTTCTTCAGTCCCGGTATGATTTGGGAATATCAGCGACTACTTTTTAGAGTTTTTCTATTTTCATACAATATCACTTTTCAAGCAGATGCGAAATTAGATATCACTGAACTAACTTACACGCCAAGCACATCTGTGCAGGATTATTTCGTTTTTTAGTTGCGTGTCTCCGTTAAACTCTCGCCACTTGCGTTTTGCTATAGTGCATTCTTTTAAAAAATATTGGAGTAATTTTTTTTTTGGTTTCTTTTGCACCCTGTAAAAAATGGTGTCCATCTTGTGAAGGGGAACAATGTGTCCTTTTCTTCTGCGATAATGCACATTGCTGTTTTGACTGGGAGAGTAAAACATAATTAGCGATTTGCCTCCGTATGCAGAATTTATCGGAGCGAACGCAGTCGACACTGGCGGTGGCCAATCATGTAGCTGAAGAAGTGATGAGCACCATGCGAACAGTGCGCTCGTTTGCTTGCGAAAAAAGGGAAGCTGCTCGATTTCGGCAGCAACTCGATGAAGCACTCAAAATTTACAAGAAAAAAGCAATAGCCTATATGGGCTACACTTGGACTAACGAATTCTGTGATAACGCTATACTTGTTGCAGTATTATTTTACGGGGGACATCTGGTTTTATCAGGTACATCCTCTGGTTTTTTATCCGAATTATCGGGAAAGTGTCAGTCGAGAAAGTAGCACAACAAATGGATAGATTTCGATTAAGGCTTGGCTGTTCATGATAGGGCTTAATTCAAAACTTGAACTGCATTTTCTTCTTCGATATCATTTACTGATATCTTCTACAGGGCCAGTGAGAAGCTTCGATGTTAGTGATGTTAGGTGTAAATGCAAAATGCGTTCTGTTTTTATGCCGAAATTCGGCCGTAATTTCAAAATTTCCTTCCTGTTTGATTTACTAGG